AAGAAGAGAGAGAGAGAGAGAGAGAGAGAGAGAGAGAGATGGGGGAGGGAGAGAGAGATGGAAACAGCAGATAGAGAAGGCATCTAGAAAGGGATAGCGAGAAGACAGAGAGCAGAATATATCGATAGACCGACAGTAATGAATGTATTTGTATATAAACGATATAACGTCACTGTTGCTACATCCTACTTCTCCGGATTACGGTAGTGCGAATAACACGCCTACAGTACAATTACAGTTTTCATAACAGTATTCGTTTACACTATACCAATTATGTTTTTCGTTTCTAACTAATTGCTCTACCACTGCATTATTCAAGTATAGCTTCTTGTTCTCTACTTTTTATCGCAAACGTTATCCGATCATATTTTCGCGAAAGCAACCCAGGCAACGCAGAGAGAAAGAAAGAAGGAGAAAGAGCGAAAGAAAGAAAGAGAGAGACGGAGAGAGAGGAGAAGAACGAGAGAAAGAGAGAGAAATAGAGTGGGAGAGGAGGAGGGAGAGAGAGGGAGAGAGAGAGGGAGAAAGAAAGAAAGAGAGAAAGAGAGAGAGAGCGAGAAGGAGATAGAGAGAGGGAAAGAGAGAGAGAGAGGGAGAGAGAGGGGGGGAGAGAGAGAGTACGAGTATATATAGATAGTTATACCTGCTGGCGCACACACCAGTTCATTGCTTGCTCCGATATCGTATGTCAGGCGACAGTCGTCTGCTGTCATAGACGATGATGACGATGATGACGATGATGATGACAGCACGCCGATGTCGTTTCTCTCTACGGCCCGATGGTGACGAATAGTGCCAACAACGCCCCCTGGCGGTATGATTACAGCGAGCAGCCAGCAAACGGACACAGTTAGCGTCTGTGAAGAGTGCATGTTGTCTTCGTTTCTCTCTCTCTCTCTCTCTTTCTCTCTCTCTCTCTCTCTCTTTCCCTCTCTCTCTATCTCTCTCTTTCTTTCTTTCTTTCTCCCTCTCTCTACCTCCCACCTCTACTGCTCTGTCTGTCTTTTTCTCTCTTTCTCCCCCTCTCTCTCTCTCTCTCTCTCCCTCCCTCACTTTCTTTCTTTCGCTCTTTCTCCCTTTCTCTTTCTCTCTTTCTCACTCTCTCCTCCTGTCTCTTTCCCTCTCTCTCCCCCCCTCTCTCTCTCTCTCTTTCTCTCTTGCTCTCTTTTTCTTGTTCTCCCCCCTCTCTCTCTCTCTTTCTATCTTTCTCTCTTTCTCTCGTTCTCTCTCCCTTTCTC